CATTTTCATTATTACATCAGCTGTGGTGATTTTTGATGTTACTATAGTAATTGATTTGGGGCGCCATGAACTGCACCCATAAGTGATGGCAAATTTAATTGATAATGTGTTCTGACTGCTCCACCGACTGGCTGTTCCTCATCTCTTTCCCTCTTCTCAGGCCTTCCTATTCCTTGAGATATGACAATATTGAAATTAGCCCAATAGCTCTACAGTGGCCTCTAAGTGTTCAGGTGAAAGGAAGGGTTGCAAGTCTCTCACTTTAAATCAAAAGCTAGAAATGGTTGAGCTTAGTGAGGAAGGCATGTTGAAAGCCAAGACAGGCCAAAAGCTAGGCCTTTTCGCCAAACAGGCAAGTTGTGAATGCAAAGGAAAATTTCTTGAAGGAAGTTAAAAGTGCTGTTCCACTGAACAAATGAATGATGAGAAAGTGAAGCAGTGTAATTGCTGATATGGAGAAAGTTTTAGTGGTCTGGATAGAAGATGAAACCATTCACAACATTCCCTTCAGCCAAAGCCTAATCCAGAGTAGGACCCTAACTCTCTCCAAGTCTGTGAAGACTGAGAGAAGTTTGGAAGCTGCAGAAGAAAAATTTGAAGCTAGCAGAGGTTGGTTCATGAAGTTTAAGGAAAGAAACTGTCTCTACATCAAAGTACGAGGTGAAGTAGCAAGTTCTGGTGTAGCAGCTGCAGCAAGTTATCCAGAAAATCTAGCTAAGATAATTGATGACGGTGGCTTCAGTAGAGAACAGATTTTCAATGTAGACAAAACAGCCTTATGTTGCAAGAAGATGCCATCTAGGACTTTCATAACTAAAGAGGAGAGGCCAATGCTGGCTTCAGAGCTTCGAAGGACAGGCTGACTCTCTTGTTAGGGGCTAATGCAGCTGGTGGCTTTAAGTTGAAGCTAATACTCATTTACCACTTTGAAAATCCTGGAGCCCTTAAGAATTAAGCTAAACCTGTTCTGCATATGCTTTATAAATGGAACAAAAACGCTTGGATGAAAGCACATCTGTTTACAACATGGTTTACTGAATATCCTAAGACCACCGTTGAGACCTACTGCTCAGAAAAAAAGATTCCTTTCAAAATATTACTGCTTATCAACAATGGTGACCCAAGAGTTCTGATGGAGATGGACAAGGAGATTAATGTTGTCTTCATGCCTGCTAACACAGCATCCATTCTGCAGCCCATGGATCAAGGAGTAATTTTGACTTTCAAGTCTTATTATTTAAGAAATACATTTCATGAGGTTGTAGTTACCATAGATAGTGATTCCTCTGATGGATCTGGGCAAAATAAATTGAAAACTTTCTGGAAAGGATTCAGCATTCTAGATGTCATTAAGAACATTTGTAATTTGTGGGAGGAGGTCAAGATATCCACATTTACAGGAATTTGGAAGAAGTTAATTTCAACCCTTATGGATGACTTTGAGGGGTTGACGATTTCAGTGGAGGAAGTAACTGCAGATGTAATGGAAGTAGCAAGAGAACTATAATTAGAAATGGAGGCTGAAGATGTGACTGAATTGCTCCAATATCATAAAATTTTAACAGATGCAGAGTTGCTTCTTACGGATAAGGAAAGGAAGTGGCTTCTTGAGATGGAAACTACTCCTGGTGAAGATTCTGTGAACATTTTTGAAGTGAAAGCAAAGGATTTAGAATATTACATAAACTTTTGCCAATTGAACAATGTTTATACGTATAACTTGGTGACACTAATTATGTTCATGTTGTGCAGTCATTACAAAATGGGAATCTTAACCTCTTAGCAAGCACAAGGGCTTGCTATTCTTGTTTCTACAGAGATAGTGATCTTTGTTGTCTTATAACATTAGACTATTTGTGTGGGAATGTATGGATTCATCGTTGAGGGGAACAGGCACTAATTGCGGTACAATTGCATCAGGTCTCGAAATTTGAGACTCGTGGGGAGATCTGGATTCTCATGTTTCCTGTCTTTCACCTGAGATTTTTTTTTTAACTTTTCTTACCTTTGCCTGTCCCTATGAAAGGGACAGACAGAATGACAGAGTAATTAATTTTTTGAAAACAGGTGACTGATGTAAAAATTACTAATTCTCCAAAAGATTATTCTTTTTTCAGCATATGGATCTGTCATCTCTTGATCTCCTAGAGTTGTTCAAGAAAATATGACCAGCTCAGGGCCTTGGATTGCAGTTTGTGCAGCTCCTGGTCCTCTCGTGGCTGTGAGGGGCAAAAGTGAACACTGCCCTTCCACAGTGTTTCCCAGTTGTTAATTCCTCATCTTTCTTTCATGTTTTGTTGAGTCTTCTGCTGGGTTTTATGGAAGGAGGTGAAATTATTTAAAAGGAAGTGATGATTTGAATTAGAGTATTTCTCTAATTTTTGCTATATTTTCTAACTGTTCTAGACTGTAGAGAGGGAGGAATAAGACTGCAGTTGATCGCAGTCAAACTGTGGAGAGATTTTGTGTGTTGGCAGTCTATGAGACAGGATGCAGTCACTGAGGAAGTGAATGTTGTTAGTAAAGGGATGAGGCTGATGGCTATACCCTAGAGTAGACCTTGGTAGAACACAGAACCTTATGTCAAATCCCTATGAATTCTCAGTTCCTGATGATGGTCACCCTCACATTTTGTTCTTGTACACATTGGAGTATATGATACTTTGCTGATCCAGAATGTATGGGATGTTTTAGGACTCAGTGGTCATTGAGGATGTGGCCGTGATTTTTAGCCAGGAAGAGTGGGCTTTGCTGGATCTTACTCAGAGGAAGCTCTACAGAGATGTGATGCTGGAAACCTTCAGAAACCTGGCCTCTGTAGGTAAGATTGACATCATTTAAAAAAAAAATTTATTCCATCACTGAACAAAAATATTTTACTCATTGATTTTGTTTCAGTATTCGGTTTGAGGAATTGGGAATAAATTGTTAAATAAAACAGGCATGGTACCTTGGTGTATGCAGCCTGCATATCCTGGCTTCCCCATGAGCATAAAGTTCTGTGTATTAAAGTAAATTATTATTTCTCTTGCGATTAAAAGCTTTGAGGTTCTTTAAGTGTTGTAAGTATTGGCTTCAGGGGTCCCTTTGGGCCTCTGAGAAATGTGTGTTTTGGGACCTTATAGAGAGTTTTACTAGGTTTATTACAGGTTTGACATAATTGTTTTGCTGCAAATAAGCTCATACCTGTCCATCTTCAGAAACTCTGAAGAGCAATGTATTGAGTCAGTGTCAGGGAAATATTCATTGGTCTGCACTGTTTTCCCTTATGATATTCATTTCTCTATGAGCACCATGTCAGCTATACCTATTTGTTTTGCCAGAGAAGCAAGGACACTGGAGTTAGGACTCATCTGGGGCCACTGTGTTGGGAAACATCAGGAAAGCAAGAATTTTTTGAAGTACCAGTCCTGCATGGTGGGAATTACATTTTAATCAGTCAGCTAGAAAAAGTCTCTTTTCAATTGACATAACGTCACAGATACTTCAGCTTACTTTCCTGACTTTAGCAATCCTCTCACACCTGAGTTATGAAGTCCCTTTTCCTCTTTTATTGTTACATGTATATTGTGTCCATTATCTTTCTAGTTAGCTCTCCTAATTACACCTATTTGTGTCACTATCACTGTTAATCCTCATGGATGTATTTCCTAGTAAATTGCTTTTTAACCCTTGTCATATGTTGAAACAACGAAATGCGGCTAAGTCTTTCTTTGTTCATAGCAGCCTTTTTTCCCCTAATAATTCCATTCTTGTTTCATATTGTGAACCTCAACTTGAATTATTGGGTCAGTCTCTCGAAACCTTGATGGAGAAAGGTTATCCAGTGAACATATAATGGTGCAATTCATGAAGAGTAACACTTGGTCCTACGTGTTAGGAAAAATCTCCAAATCGTATGGCAGTAAAAATCAGCACAAAAACCAGAAGAAACATCTGAGGTGAGTGTCATTCATACAAGAGAAAACAGTGCTTCAGGAAAAAGTCATAAGGTGTCCTGACATCATATATGTGTACACATATGTATATGTTTATATGTACAATGCTTGGTAAAGTAGAAGGTCAATGAAAATGAGTAAGACACTCAATGAGATGGATTGATCCAGAGGCTGCAACGATTAACTCAAACATAGCAACAATTGTGAGGATGATGCAGGACCAAACAATGTTTCATTCTGTTGTATATAGGGTTGCTGTGAGTACTGACTGGACAGTACTTGTCAACAATGTATATAAACCTAGCTGTAAAATTATGTGTTCAGATAATGTTCACAATCTAACATTCTTATAAATTCAGGTCATGTATCGAGTATTTGAAACGTATTTCCCTAGAACACAATTATCGGAATGCCACATATTTTAGAAAGACAGTGACAGTAATGGTAGTATTTCTGTTAGATTATTTAACCTATGAAATATGAGACAAGTCAGCAAAAACTGCACTTTCACTGTGTTTATTAATGGTGAAATGGAAACAAATTTATTTCCAACAGCACGTTGCCTATTTTTAACAGAAGTCATACAGTACAGAACTTCTGTGAAAGTAATAAAGGCAGGCAGCCTGGGAAAACCTTCAGCCAGATTCCAGATCAAACTGTGCTAAAGAGAAATCCTCCAGAAGGAAATCCCTTTGAATGCTGTGAGTGTGGAAAAGCCTTCATGGATCACTCGTCACATAACCGTCATGCTAGATCTCACAGTGGATGCAATACCTGTCAATCTAAGGAATGTGGAGAATCCTGCAGTTGTCCTCACCTAACCATTCCTATAAGAGCACTTACTGGAAAGAAACTCCATAAATGTAAGGTATGTGGGAAGGGTTTAATTTGTATCTCAACCCTTAAGAATCCTGTGACAACATTCACTGGTGAGAAACGATATGAATGTAGCAAATGTGGGAAAGGTTTCTGTAGTTTATTATCCTTTTGGACGCATGTGAGAGGTCATAGGCATGAATGTAAAGAATGTTGTAAAGCTATTAGTCATCCTTCATCCCTCATTTCACATAAAAAAATTTGTAATAGAGATAAGCTTTATGAATGTAAGGAATGTGGGAAAGCATTTAGTCAGGCTTCATCCCTCACTCAACATGTAAGAATTCACAGTGGAGAAAGGCCTTATGAATGTATAGAATGTGGGAAAGCCTTTAGTCAGTCAGCACACCTCACTCAACATATAAGAACTCACAATGGACAGAGGCCTTTTGAATGTAAGGAATGTGGGAAAACCTTTATTCAGGCCTCATCCCTCACTCAACATATAAGAACTCACAATGGGCAGAGGCCTTACGAATGTAAGGAATGTGGGAAAGCCTTTAGTCGGGCCTCATTCCTTAGTATACATATAAGGACTCACATTGGAGTGAGGCCTTATAAATGTAAGCAATGTGAGAAAGCCTTTAGGCAATCTTCACACCTCACTAAACATATGAGAACTCATAGTGGAGAAAGGCCTTATGAATGTAAGCAATGTGGTAAAATGTTTAGTTGTTCTTATTATCTCTCTGAACACATAAGAACTCACAGTGGAGAGAAACCTTACAAATGTAAGCAATGTGGGAAAGCCTTTAGACGGTCATCACACCTCACTACACATATAAAAATTCACAGTGAAGAGAGGCCTTATGAATGTAAGGAATGTGGGAAAGCCTATAGGCAAGTCTCACACCTCATTAAACATACAAGAACAACTCATAGTGGAGAGAGGCCTTATGAATGTAAGGAATGTGGGAAAGCGTTCAGTGATTCCTCAAACCTCCCTAGACATGTAAGAACTCACAGTGTTGAGAGACCTTACGAATGTAAGGAATGTGGGAAAACCTTTACTCATTCCTCGTATCTCTCTGAACATATAAGAACTCACAGTGGAGAGAGACCTTTTGAATGTAAGGAATGTGGGAAAGCCTTTAGTTATTCTTCACACCTCACTAAACATATGACAACTCACAGTGGAGAAAGACCTTATGAATGTAAGGAATGTGGGAAAACTTTTACTCATTCCTCCTATCTCTCTGATCACATAAGAACTCACAGTGGAGAGAGGCCTTTTGAGTGTAAGGAATGTGGGAAAGCCTTTAGTTACTCCTCACACCTTGCTAGACATATAACAACTCACAGTGGAGAAAGACCTTATGAATGTAAGGAATGTGGGAAAGCCTTTTGTCATTCCTCCCACCTCACTAGACATATAAAAAGTCACAGTGGAGAAAGACCTTACGAATGTAAGGAATGTGGGAAAACCTTTAGTCATTCCTCCTATCTCTCTGGACACATAAGAACTCACAGTGGAAAGAGTAGTCAAAAGTGGGGTGTTTCATCCTTACTGCTGTAATTTCAAACAGCAAATTGCTGAAAGTCTGTGATTAAAGAACAAAGCTCAGTGAGTCAGACAGCAATACGAACTCAAAGAAAGGGTTATTAGAGCTACTTTGTGCCTTTGAGAGAAATGACAGTTTCATTGTAACTGCTGTGCTGTCCTCATCAGTGTTTGTTACTTTCTTAGTCCAAGCTAAATTTTATCTTTCTTAAAGTATTTAGTTATTACAAATAAGGCTGCAGGGAATAGCCTTGAGCAAATCTGGTTTTATATTTCTTAATGTTTTATTGATGTTATTTTGCATACAATAAAATACACTGATCTTGTATTTGGTTTAAGAGTGTTTTGTTTCCCTGTTTACTCCATTTCCTTTCATTCTTTCCTATTGGAAAGTCAACTGTTTTACCGTTTATAATTAGTAAGTTTCTCATAGGCTTGTACTTTGAGACTGAAAATACTCTTTTTCTCATGGTACTTTGGCCTACTAATTTTAGTACTCATTGATAATTGTTATCTATGATTATTATTACTGTGTTTTTTACCAAATGGTATTTTCTGTTTCAATCATTTCTTCTGTGTTTATTAATTGGAATTCTGCAAGGAATAGCTTTTCCTTCTCTTCCTTTTATTTATTAAATTGTCTATACGAGTAAATGTTAATCCATATTACTTTCTTTTCTTAGCTAAAATTGTGAAAGATTTCATTATTAGGTGTGCCCTTAGGTAAGTTCCAGACCCCTGGTGGTACAGTGATTAAACATTCAACTATTAACAAAAAGTCAGTAGTTCAAATCCACCAGCCACTCCTTGGGAATTCTATGAGGCAGTTCTGCCCTCTCCTATAGGGTTGCTATGAGTTGGAATAACTCGAAGGCAACAGGTTTGGCTTTGTTTTTTAAGTAGCTTCCTTTATTTTTTGACCCATTAAAACCCATTGCCGTCAAGTCTATACTGACTCATAGCGTCCCTATAGGACAGAGTAGAACTACTCCATAGAGTTACCAAGGAGTGCCTGGTGGATTAGAACTGCCGACTTTTTGGTTAGCAGCTGTAGCACTTAACCACTTTGCCACCAGGGTTTCCTATTTTATGACATATCCGCATTATAATTTGTACATTACTTTCTGCCAGTGTTTGAGGCTTATCTTGTCCTTTTCCTGCCCAAGCCCTGGAGTTAGATTTTTCTCCAAGAAACCTTGGTTCCTTTTATTAGAAAATTATATTTAGAAGCAAAGATCTCGGAATTAGATATGCTTGTTGCTGCCGGGCCCTTAAAGTGGGAAGAGCTAGGAAATCTATGTGTGTAAGTATATAATACAAAGACATGTAGTTATATCTATTTCTGTATGTATTTGTATATATTTGAAAAACCACGGGATCATACTCATATCTCTGATTGCAGTTCAACACCACAGGGTTCATTTTAACATTTTTCTTTAGTATATATGTTTTTCTTTCTGTTAACACTAATACTCCTGGCTCTCATTGTCCACAGTGCATTATTTGCTGCATCTTAGAATGTACATTAAGTAGTTTCAGAATTGCTAATTGTCATGTGAAGAACCACCTTGCAGAAAGCCATTTGGCCTTTGTTCAAGGCTCTTGAGAGTCGGACTGCAACTGAGGCTAATGAGTGAAGGTGAGTAAGGTCAGAGGGACCACCTGGTGGCCTGATGCTAACCTCTTGAGGCATAATTTAGCTTTTCATGCAGGACTGACCAGGAAAAATCCAGAAGTTGGAGAGTTAAGGAAGCTTCCCAGTTGGTGAGAAACATCCATCCATGTGATGGGTGACATGTCCTGGGGACATGGAAGCTCTGCCCTGGGATCCTTCTAGACCTTGCCCCATGCATTTCTTCATCTGTGTTCTTTTTATATTTAAACTGTTATCATAAGGATGGCCATTTTATGAATTCTGTGGGTCATTCCAGTGAATTATTGAACCGAAAGGAGGGTCAGAAGTAAGGGGATTCGGGAACCCTGATCTTGAGGCTGGTATTCTAATGGGGTTAGAGCACACCTACAGACTAGCAAGTAGATCAGAAGTTGTTAGTTGTTCAGACTCCCAAACTTGCAGCTGGTGTCTGCCTGTTTGACAGTCTGAAGTATGGTGTTCTTTTAACTTGTGAGCTCTGGCCTAGCCCCTGGTGGCTAGAGTCAGAGGCAGAATCCCACAGGGGTGGCTTCTATCAGAACTAAACAAGGACAGGCATCTGAGATTACTACATGGCACGATTAGCATATGAAGTGGGATTTCTTAGTCTCCATGGCCTAGATAGTAAGAAGTTGAGACCATTAAGCTCCATCTGCCCCTAAAACTGATGCCTCAACGATTGTATTACATGATTGGTAGAATTTTAGTGAAGGGTAGAAAATGGGTTGAACCAGACTGATGTATGTGCAGCTGATGTCTGTACATAGTAAGGACTTGTCATGGATTGAATTATATGCCCTCAAAATATCAACTTGGCTAGATCATGATTCCCAGTATTATATGATTCTCTACCATTTTGTCTGATGTGATTTCCCTGTGTGTTGTAAATCCTATCACTGTGATGTAATGAGATGGATTAGTGGTAGTTTTATTGATGAGATTTACAAGATTAGAGAGTATCTTAAGCCAGTTTCTTTTGAAATATAAATGAAGCAAGCAGAGATAACGCGGGGACCTCATGCCACGAAGAAAGCAGTACTGAGAACAGAGCGCATCCTTTGGACGTGAGGTTTCTGCACTGAGATGCTCCCAGACCAAGGGAAGACTGACGCATCACAAGGACCTTTTTTAAAAGTGTGCTAAGAGTCATCAGGGAGACAAGAAGCAGGTCCTGCTGAACCTAGCTACATGCCTGCCACTCTATCTGGAGAGAAGTACCCCAAGGGAAACACATCAATACAGTCTCTGCAATTTCATCCACTGGAACAGTGGACACTGGATCTATGAGATTTCCTGGTAGGTTGGCTCAAGACTAGGAACAACCTTAGGCCAGAGTGGTTGAGGTCTCTGTAAATTATTATACCTCCAAATGACAAAATAATATATGCAACTATTAAGAGATGGTTTCAAATGGTAAGTGACATCAGAAGATTTCCATTATTAAATAGGAATAAAAGTAAATACTTTAATGCATGTAGTATTAGCTCATTTTTGTAAGTTATATATGAAGGAGAAAAAATGTGTGAAAATAGAAACCAAAATAGTAGCTATATTGAACCTACATAATAATCAGAAGCCATTAGTAATAGTTGAATTGAGTTTATATGGAGGGATTTACTGAAAGGAAGACTATTAATTATAAATTGTTAAAAATGATTAACAAGAAAATAAACAACAAAATGGGGAAATATTTACAGCACATAGTGGACATAAATAATATCTTTAATATATAAGAAACTTTAAATCAAAAGGAAAAGGACTAACAGCACAGTAACAAAAATGAGGACATTTGTAAATAAAGATGATTTTTAAATCTGTGAAGTGTTCAATTGTACTCGTAGTAAGAAAAAAGTATGCCGAGATCAAAACCCAATACCAAACTTTTTAAACTATAAACTCAGCAAGGATCAGAAAGTTTGTCACATTGAATTGGTGAGAGTATGGGAAAGCAGGCACTCGGATATGTGGGTGACAGTATAAGTTACTAAAACCTCCATGAAGGGAAATAACGCAAACCAAATTTAAATTGTTATAAACAATAAAATCTATTAATTTAAATGCACAGGACTTTGAACCCAACAATTTTAACGAATTTATTCCACAATTATATTCATTTAAGCATGTAATATGTGTGATAACATTCATGACAGCATGTTCCCTAATAAGAAAATATAGACACAACTTAAATGTGCACAAATAGGGACTGGTTAAATAAATTATGGAACAGCCATGTGTTAGAGTACTTATGTGACTATTAAGAATAGTAAGATTCCTCTTCATGCACTTACATAGAAAGATCTCCAAATATATTAAGTGAAAAATGTAAGATATAGTGTGATTGAACATAATCATTTTTGTAAAAAAAAGTAAAATATGTACATTTGTATGTTTGCACACAGATCACACACACACATGCACACATCTACGGTCATAGAACATCTCTGGAAGTGTTCCTAGGAAAATTGATAAATTGCTTCCCTGGTTGCTCAGTAGTTAAGCCCTTGGCTGCTAACTTAAAGGTCAGCAGTTTGAACCCAAGAGCCACTGTGGCAGTCAGCTTCCATAAAGATTTACAGCCTTGGGAACCCTATGGAACAGTTCTACTCTGTCCTGTAGGATAGCTATAGATCAGAATCAACTGGATGGCAGTGGGTTTGTTTTTTGTTTTTTTTACTTCCCTTTTTCTAATCCCTAGTGGTGAAGTAGATAACAGCTTGGTTGCTAATAAAAAGGTCGGCAGTTTGAATTCACCAGCTGCTCCTTGGAAACCCTGTAGGGCAGTTCTATTTTGTCTTATAGGGTTGCTATGAGTCAGAATTGACTTGATGACAATGGGTTTTTCTTACTGTTCTCAGGGCTGAGTGGACAAGCTCATAGCCACTAATCCTTGTTCTTTGCTGGTTAGGTCAGAAAAGTGGAAACCAGGTTTGTTACTTTTCCTAAGTGCCCATTAAATCAGTCATCAAATCCTGCTTATGGTAGCTCCAAAACATAACATTGCTTCTGTGACTGAAGATGTTGGTCTCCCCCAACATTTGTTGTTCCCCTGGTCCTTAGTCATAGAACTCCTGATTTTCAGTTATAACAGTAGTCACCTAGAAAAACCATTTTATTTTCCAATAGTCCTTGCTACCAGATGAGATCATGTGCCTAAGTTCTCTTCAATGAGCAATAACTAAAAGTGTCATGTGTAATTTCTAAGAAATGTCCTTAAATATTTTTTATCTCCATTTCTCATTCATGTAGACTGGAATAAAAACATCTTGGACCAAGTGATGAAGTCACAGGTTGAGAAACAAGATAGTAATCTGGTCCCTGATGATGGTGAAGCCATGAATCTTATTCTGCATTGGCTATACACAGACTTCAGTTAGAGAGAAATACACATCTATCTGTCCAGGTCACTGTGATTTGGGATTTTCTGTCACAGCTAGTTCAGATCTCAAATGATAAAATATCTTTCCATTTCAACCATCATCCACCTGATCCAGCCAATCCATCCTACCTGAACTACCGCAACAGCTTTCCAACTGTCCTTGCCACATCAAACTTGATCTCTCAGTTCTATTCTGCACACTCTAACCAGAATATTTTTGCAAAAATACATAAAAGATCAAATAACTCCCATGTTTACAATCCTTTAAAGAATTCCCGTTAGTATTAGGAGAAGTTCAATATTCTCAGTGTGGCCTCTTCAGTCTTATACTACCTGGTCCCTAAAGCATCAGCTCATTTCTTGCTACTTCTCTCACTCTGTGAGGGATAGTTACAGTGAAGCTTCAAATACCGTTCTGTCTAGTGTGACATTCATCTTAAATCTCTTCCCAAGCCCCTCTGTTTAACTACATTTTACTAGTCTGTCTGGTCTCTGATAAAATGTAAA